ACCGCATCGGAAAGTTCAACGGAGTAAACTCCGGGGCGGCTTGGTTGAGGTTCCAGTGCCACCGCACCAGTTGTCTCTCTTGTTGACTCGTTGAGGTCGGGAAAGAGAGTGAGCAGACTCCGGGAAGATGACGCCATTTTCTGGGCCAGCAGAGTATTTACAGCAGTATCTCTCTCAGAAATCTCTCTCAGAATATCTCTCGCAAGTTTTTGTCTCAGCTTTTGCCTCGGCCTCAGCCTCCGTTAAATAGCCGAGGCAGCCACGCCATCGCGCGCCTCTTGCCACTAGCCGACAAAACGGGCACGCAAGCCAAGGCGCCCACGTGCCTCGCCATCATGTCCGGCACGCCTGATGAATGGGCACGCCTTTTATGAATTTGGGCACACCTTTTGAGGGTGCGACTTTTTAAGGGTCCGACAAGACTCTGTAAACTGTCCCGACATTGATTCCGGTTAGCTCCTTCATGGGTCCGACAAACTCTGTAAACTGTCCCGACATTGATTCCGGTTAGCTCCTTTATGGGTCCGACAAGACTCTGTAAACTGTCCCGACATTAATTCCGGTTAGCTCCTTTATGGGTCCGACAAGACTCTGTAAACTGTCACAACAACTGTCACAACATTGTCTGCTACAACGGTCCGACATGACCCATAAACTGTCTTCTACATCGGTCTGACACCACCATACAGTGTCCTCTACAACGTTATGACACCTCCATACAGTGTCCTCTTACAAACGTTATGGTCTGACACCCCCATACAGTGTCCTCTACAACGTTATGACACCACCATCCAGTGTCTTCACCAATGGTCTGACACGACCATACAGTGTCTCTTATCCCTCTTTTATTTTTATGTATTTTCTTGTTTTGTTCCTCTCTTCAAACTCAAGTTGGTTAGTTTCTATCCTCCTTGAGTTTGCGGGTGGCTGTTAGAATTTACCATAAACCTACCACCACTACCACCTCACCTACTCCACTAAACCTAACCCACTACACCACTACCACCTCCACTTCACCTACTCTCCACCTACTCCCAAACACACTCCTATATAATAGGAATCCTTGTAATTGTAATACACACAACAATACATATCAATCAATAATCTATTTCTCTTTATACATTGATTTTCTACAATATGTAGCACTTTATTACATATTTCTTCAGATTAAATTCCAAAATCTATATGTTAGGACCAGAGGAAATGAGTATTTAAAGATAGGACCAGGTGTATGTACAAATGCATATGCCACTATACCACGTAAAAAGGGTCATTTCTTTAACATGCAGAAGATTTAGTTTCCGTGGGTATTGAAAGAAGCTAATTGATTTCAGAAAATCCTGGATCTATTTTTGAAAGTCACCACATGTATTCAATGCATGTGAAGTTCTTCACCACATAGCCTGCATTCTCATCTACCTGACCATTGAATGGAATTAGAGACAAAGTTAAGGGTGGGCCAAGGGGAGAAATGGTCCCACCCTAAGTTTGTAAAAGTTTTCTATTACCCCTCTAGTTTTTTAGTATTATTACAAAGTATATAAAATGACCCCACTAAGTATTTAAAAATTCTTTTATTGACTCTCAGTATTCCTTCAATATATATGACATGACCCCTTACTGTTTCACATATTTTTGTAATAGTATCAATTCTATTGATTTTATATGTAAAGGCCATTTTGTTACTCGATAATAAAAATCATAGAGGTAACTTTTTTAATTGACAGTCTAATAAATTATACACTAAGATTGTAATTATACAGTCCAGAGATTGTATGAAATAATTGGGATAGTATTAAAAAAATTGTATGAATCCATTTTTTTTTTATGCTTCTTTTTAAAATTTTACCTATTAAAATAAGTTTGCTAAATTTTGATAGATATCTAGAGATTCTTAAATCAAATGTCATACTTCAATCATTTGGATAAGTTGGTGGGTGGGTCTGAGGAGAATTTGACACTTTATTTTTTTTTGGTGATGCCTATTCTGAGGTGGCTTTATTATTTAAACTTCAATAATGGGGTAAGCTCAGGCTGACTATAGTGTGTCCCGTGTTGCCAACTTGCCATACACGTCAAAACATTGTTCTCTCATTATTTATACTCTTAAATTTTAAGGTAACGTGTAAGGCCAAATTTTGTTAAGGTTCTCTTCCAGGAAGGTTATTTGGATTACATACATGACTACCTACACTAAATCATGCCATTATTTGAGGTTGTGTTGTTAGGATATTATGATTTGCAGTTGCAGATACAACTAATTAAGAGCCAGTTTTTTCTTTATTCAGCTATGATTAATCATATTTCCAATATTTTTGCCTTTGATGACCATATTTCTACGGTTCTAATTATCTTGTCATTTTCTTTTCCAGGCATTTTCCACTGTGGGCACACCTGATTATATTGCTCCTGAAGTTTTATTGAAGAAGGGATATGGCAAAGAGTGTGATTGGTTAGTTAACTTTGATGAAGTTTTGTATATAAATATAGGCATTACATATCTTCTATATTGTATATCCTCTATTTTTTATTTTTTTATTTTTCAATCCAACTATTTTCTATGTAGTATTATTGAGCTTTATTTTATATATTAATGTTGTGCAAAGTTTTGACTTTTCAATACTGTGCTATTAGGTTTGAAGAGAAGCTAAAGAATAGGTTGATCATGTCTATTTTTCTCTAAGCTTCAGTAGCAAGTTTTCTAGAGAGGCACATAATAAATTTCATCTGGGCAAACTTGTAGTCGATCCCATTTGATTGGGACATAGGACTTAGTTTGGTTTGGTTTGGGGCAAACTTCTTGTAGATGTACAAGTTGTACACCTCTTTATGAATATGTTGTTGGTCAAGAAAAGAATATTCTCTAGTCAAGTTATGCTTGCTATAGAAGCCCTGTGTTTGAGATCTCTAGATGGAGTATGCAAAGAACACTTGAATGCCACAAACTTCATTATGAAAGTTTCCTAATCTTTTGTTATATTATTATTATTATTATTTTATTTTATTCTGGTGTCAGTGGCTCGTCGGTTGGAGAAGTTGCAGCAGGATTTTCTGTGGGGAGGATTTGGGGATGAGTTTAGGTATCGTTTTGTTAGTTTGGATCGGATTTGTAGATCGAAGGAGGTAGGGGGTTTAGGGGTTCAGAGTTTGTGTACGTTTAATTTAGCCTTGTTAGGGAAGTGGATGTGGCATTTTGCGTGGGAGAGGGATAGGTTGTGATGTCGGGTGGTAGCTGTGAATATGGGGTAGGTCGGGGGGGTTGGAGTATAGGGAGTGTGGGTGGCTCGCATGGTTGTGGTTTGTGGAAAGGTGTTTGTCTTGGTAGGCGGGAGTTTTGGGAGCCAGCTCGGTTCCGGGTGAGTTCTGGAGTTAGGGTGATGTTTTGGCAGGATCGATGGTGCAGTGAGGTTGCTTTGCAATTTCGATTTCCATTGATTTTTCGTCTTGCTGTGGATTCGGAGGCTGTTGTGGCAACTTGTTTGGGAGGAGACCTCACCTACTCCACTTTCCTAATCAAAATAAAGGGGTTGGGGACGGGGTAGTTTTTGATCTTGTTCTGCGTCAGCAGGTTTAACATTGATAGGTTAACTAATTACTGGACTTAATGACCTTTCTTTTTTTATGGATGCATGTAGGGGAAAGGGAGGAGGGTGTTTTGGTTGGGGGGGGGGGTTCTAAAGGTATTTTCTCGGTATCATCTTTTTATCGAGCTTTGTGTGGAGGTATGGAGGGGAAGTTTCCTTGACGACATATTTGGGTTATAGGTGTTCCATCTAAGGGGACTCTTTTTTGTGTGGACGGTGGCTTGTGGCAGGATTCTTACTATTGATAATTTGGTTCGGCGTGGGCTTGCTTTGGTTAACTGGTGTTGTATGTCTTGTGGAGATGTGGAGTTAGTGGATCATCTTTAATTCAGTGCCCGGTGGCTTGTCGGTTCTTTTGAAAAAAAGTTTCATTCCCATCACTTCTTCAACCCTTAAATACAAAAGCAATTTCCATGACAATCAAAATTCATTAAGTGTATTAAACAAAAATGATCACTTAAACCAAACCAAACCAAGTCTTAAGTCCCATTAAATGGGGTCGGTTGCATGAATCCTTCTTCTCCACTCGATTCTATCTAAGGCCATTTCGTTAGTCAAATTAAGGAGATTTATATCCTTATTTAGTACACTAGTCCACGTCAATCTAGGTCTACCCCTTCTCCTAACACTACCATTTATCGTCACTGTATCGCATCTCTTCACTATTGCCTCTGTTAGTCTTCGTTGTATATGACTAAACCATCCCAATCTATTTTCTCTCAACTTATCTTCTATTGATACTACTCCTACCCA